CTAGTTCTACAGAGTCATCGTAATCTACGATTTCCTCCATCACAATTCCAGAATCGGGCGAAGACGAGCGAAGCTTTGAGAATCGCTCGCTGTTTTCTCACGGTTCAGGTTTGTTTTCTTGGCGTGTTCAGAAAATGTCGTCACAATCAGAGAACAATAGCTTTGTCACTGGAACATAAATTTGTAATGACGGACGCGAAAAACCTACATTTTCAAGCTCAATATTTTCACTTAGAGGGCTCCAAAGTTCATTTCAATGACCGAAACAGGTACAGCCACCTCTGATAAGCTGAAAAGAAAGCATTTTTGTGAAAAACTTGACATTAAATTTTGATCGTAGTAGCACTTTAAATATTGATAACTTATCGATCGTTCAGTGCCCAATAGGAACGTTGCAATCCTTCAGGAACTTCACACACCTTCGTCTGAATCCAAATAATTGCGAATTGAACGAGGCTATAACTCAATCCTTTATTTACTCTTGTGAACGATGTCCTCCTGGATACTACAGTGTTGAACCATCTGGTAAAAGTTGTCGGCCCTGCCCTTATGGTGGGAATTGCACAAGGAACATCGCCGCCAGCCCAACATTTTGGGGATTTCCTTCACTTGATGACCACGGATCAGTTAGCTTCCAACAATGTCCTACTGAATACTGTTGTCCATATCGAAATGTTAGCTGCAAGTACGAAAACCAAAGATATTTGGCGAGTGGGTGTTCTGGAAATCGCACTGGTGTCCTTTGTGGACAATGTAAATCTGGTTATACAGAAACGCTCTTTTCTGCAAAGTGTCGAGAGAACAACAACCGCAAAGATTATTGGTTCTGGTCAGTCGTTTTGTTATACAGTTTTGCGTTTAGCTTCTTCCTTCTTCGAAAGTCTTCAATCATAGGTTATGTCCGGCGGATTTTACCATGGGCCCGAAAGAGAGCAGCTGTCAGTGATTTGACATCGGATGGCACTGGATACGTCAAGGTGATTTTCTACTTCTACCAAGTCGCTGGTTTAGTATTTGTATCTAAAGACAGCGAGATGCATCTGGCAGAAAACTACTTGTTACTCCCTGTAATGGGGTGGTTCGATTTCAAAGCAATTGGCTTAAAAGGCGGTTTGGTTTGCCCATTTCTCGGACTAACAGTTGTTTCAAAGATCTTCTTGCAGGCCTCTCAAGTGTTTGCCGTGCTCTTTGGTGTCCTGCTCATTTTCGTCGTGAATGGAGTTACTAGAAAACTACAACGAAAACGTCCTGTCTTGCCTCCCGCTGATCAATACCTAGCTGCCACAGTAGATTGTTTGCTGCTAAGTTACTCAACATTAGCGCTAACGGCTCTCAAGGCGCTGAATTGCGTTCCCATTCAATCAACATCACGGTTCTTCTACGATGGGAATATCCAGTGCTGGACTTGGTGGCAGAAACTATGCGCGGTCTTTATCTTCATGTACATCGTACCGTTTGTTTCAGTTTTGTATAGCGGATCTAAACTGCTCTATAGTAAAGAAATTTCCAGTAAGCGGTTCTTGTATGCTTGTTTGTGTCCCTTGCCGTTCGCCGTTTGGTGGATGGTTTTTTGCAAGAAGATTCCCCCTACTAATGCAGAGACCCACCAAATTAGCGATGAACAACTACCTTTGCTACCTCCACGTGCACGTTCCTCAAGAAACGATATACGCGTCCAGGATTCCACAGCGAAAGTTATTTACGGACCCTTTAAGGAATGTATCGACGGCCAGGATTCAGGAGCAGTGTTTTGGGAGAGTGTTCTCATTGCTCGCCGTCTGGTGCTGATTTCCCTGCACACTTTCATCGTGTTTCCCTTCATCCGGATGGTTTGCTTAAGCGTCGCGTGTGCTTTTATTCTCGTACATCACTTGTGGAAAAGACCATTCAAAGACCCTTGCGTAAACCGTGGAGAGACTGCATCGTTAGCCGCCCTTCTCGTCTTGGTGGTTATTAACATGGTGGAACTTATTTTCTCTCTCAGTGGTGGGACCATTTCAGAACAGGACCGCATATGTTTAGTGGTGTTAAACGTAGTTGAAGTAATAATCATAGGAATACTTCCTGTAGTGTTTGTTCTTGTCATTTTGTTTTCTCTCCCGTGGCAGCTTTTAAGGATATGTCGATTCTTTTGCTTAATCTTTTGTAGATTATTTGTCCCGAATAGATGCGGAAATTGAAATTGATATGCATCATACTAGGCATCGTTTGATGATACTGTAAGCGTTTCATTACCTACCTACTGCCTTGTGGAAAGACCCCTTTCTTAGGGCGTTAGCCTCTGTTATGAGCCCCGATAGTCTATAACGCCTTTAAAGTTCAGTAATACACTTAATTATCTACATGACTATCTTGGATAAGCTGGGGAAGACAACTTGCTTGTATCAAATTTTAATCTCACACACGTCGTTTTTAAAACATACTGACGTCATTTGGTTGCTCGTGTTGTAGAGAGTCAGTATATTTATTTGGCAAAAAATTATTTTTGCTAGCAGATAACTCAACAACCTGGTTTTCGTAATTAATCAACTGAAGGCTCTTTGTCATTGACCATTGTATAGATAGTGAGAAATGAGAACGATCAAATTGAACGAACATCACAGGCGGAACAGTCCAGTTAATAGACAAAAACTATAAAGTACCCTAAAATCAAATCTGTACACTTATTAAACTATTATTCAAACGATTAAATTCAATATCAATATAATTCATTTCTTAAACAAGCAGTAAATTTATAGAGTTTGCCTTTTAAAATTTGTTGTCAAAATAGGGGCGGGGGGGGGGAGGGGAGGGGGGGGGTGGCAGCGAGGTCTGAAACCGAGTTTACATGATTTGGTCGAGTGAGGCTGAGTACAAATTTTCAATCAAAACAAATATGGCGGAGAATGCAGACTTGGAAGAGCGATGAGTTTTTGGTCGGTTTTAGGTTTTCCTGCGTCCAAGCATCAAGAAAAGGTTTTTATGAACTTTTTTAATGGACCTTTTGGACATCAGGAGGCGTGATGTGTGAACAGTTCATAGGGGACTTCATTTATCGTGATTCGGAATTCACTTCTCACTGTCGAATCGCTGCGAAAACGAACTTGTTGTTGTTGTTCGCAGCCCGTTTCACGCATGCTCGCTACAGTTCTCGAATGGTTGACAGATTTCTTAACTGGGGCGATCATGGAGAGTCGAAAAGCGGCAAGATCAAAGGCTGTTGCCAGCCCCACCTCCCCCCCTTGTAGTTGACAATAGATACACAGCTTAGCAGCTCAGCGTATGTAACAAAATCTAGTCACATCAATTTCATTGTATGTCTGAAGCATAGCACAATAAACCTCTTTAGCTCGTATGTTTTGTTTTCCCAATAGAGGTCCCAGGGGAACTTGCCCCGCTGTCTTTTCACAGTGTATGAGTAGATGTTCTCGTAAATAAGACGAAATTTGAAAGAAACTGTTCCTTAGAGTATTATCACGTGACTTGTATTGAGAAAACAAAACATACAAGCTAGTGAGGTCTATTGACCTACAGCTGTAGGAAACTATAAACATGGTTACTTTTTGTAGGCGAATATCAGCAAATAATATTTCAAATTAATTATTACTGAGCGTGCAATTTCTAATGGGATCTCCTGTCTTCAGAGGATGTCACTTAGTGCCATCTTTACTGTTGCTCCTTTATACTAGAGTAAATGGTGACACACCCCTTGGCTGTTACTTCAGTTTCGTCTTCATCTTGTGTAGGCTTCAACTCAAGTTCTGTATACACGAGACCACAAGTCTGTGATGGAAAGAAAACAGGTTAATTAGGTTCCCGCTACAGAGGGCTATTGCTCTCTCAACTTGTCTCGCAATTTCGTTACAACACAATTTCCTAGTAACATCCCCTGAAATCGCCATGTGTCGCAACGTTTTCGTTGGCTGTCTTTGTTCGGCGCACAACGTCGAACCAAGTTGTACTTCTCGCAACTCTAATGTAAGACAAATGCTTCATTTCGGTTTTTTTTTCACCCCATGTGAGGGAATTCAAGGCATTCTTGGATTCTGGATTCTACGACGTGGATTCCAGATTTCATTCTTTGTTAGCCCAGGATTACGGATTCCACAGGCAAAATGTTCCTGTATTCCTTTACATGGGTGGAGTTATTACCCTCGGGAACGTTTCATGCAACTTTCTCGCTAATTCGCACAAATAGAGAGGAGAAGTCGTTACGTCACGTTGTCATGGTAGCAAAATTTTTGAATGACAACAAACCGATAAAGTCACTTTAAAGTCTATTCGCGCTATTTCAAACTTCACCGATCTTGTTTAATTTCATTTAATTTGGCAAATGTTGGCGGAAGTTTCTTTGGGACCGTATCTGTCGTTATCTATGTTTAGAAAAAGAAAGCGACAATTTTTGTGGTTGTGTTTACCTACTCCATAAAGCGGGCTCACGAAATTAGGACGTTTCATGTCGTAGTGGTGCAACGACGGCAAGGATATGTACAAAATAGCGTGATTCACGTGGAAAGTTGTTGTTTCTTGATATAAAGATATTATTTTTTGCCGTTGTCCTTGCCGTCTTCGTCGTCGTTGGTTTTGTTGTCATCCAGAAATAGTACACCGTGGTAACGTGACGTCACACTTCTCCTCTCTATTGCCAGACAGGTTGTAGGATAACCTAGCGCACGAAAGTTTAGGTTTTCAATCTTTTTACCTTGTAAAATTGACTTTCATTTATCAGTTGATTACGCCCAATAGAGCGTTTATTCAAGGGAGACGTTTATTGGTAATTTTGTTTCCATGCATCTGCGACGTTTGATCGAGGGCGGTTTCAATCGAATAAATACGGTATACTGAAGTTTTCACATGAAAATAAATTTTCATTTCGTTTTCATCTGAATAGTTATGCACCGCAGTCTTCGGTTTGAAAACGAATTAAAGAACACTAGCGCATTAAGGCCGTCTACACGTGCTATGGATTTTAAATACTCCACTGATTTTAAGAAAGACGAAAAAAATAATTTGTTGCCGCCGTGAGGTGAGCACTTCACTTGGTAATAAATTAACAATTAATGAATGAGGCTGAGTATCTTATTAAGAATTATGGAGATCGAGGAGGGTGTTACGGCCTCGACGGATAACACCCTTCCAGATCTCCATAATTCCTTATCTGATACGAAAGCCGAATTCAATAATTGTTTTATTATTCATTCAAAAGAATTCCTTGTTTAAAAACATGGCTAAAACATGCTTACCTCCATCGATCCATCCATGTTAAGTTCATCTTCGATAGTGCACGTTTAGGTTTGTCCCTTCCCTTCCCTTGCTATTTTTTCCCCCAAACAGAGAGCCTGCTCACAGGGTACCATTCATATAAAACCTTGTTGGCAGTGCTTTCACACGGCACTTCTTGTAATTCAGTATTATACAAAACGGAAGTTTAGAACTTTTGAGAATTTTTACTGGCAGTAACACAATAACAGTTGGTGTTTAAAACTGCGTTGGTTAGATAAAGTCATTCTTGACTAGCAGTCTCTCTCCATAGTAGTTTATTTGACGAATACTGCTCTACATGTGTGGTAATTTATTATTGGAGAATGTCCCCGAGTGTACAAAGTCTTTCTAGCCACATGAATAATTATTCCAAGATATCTGTGAATAGATAGATTGGATACCTCTTGGTAAATTTTCCCGAGGTCAAATTCCATGGAAATACAATTGCACATGACTACGAAACATAAATATCTCTGCAATTACCTCATCGTTAGTTTTCTTGGCCCTGGTTTTGTCAACAACCGCATACACGTACTCCTTTTCTGTGTCGTCTGAATGCACCTGGGGCCTCTTGTATCTTGCACAATATGGCGTGGGGTATAACGGTGGCTTTCGTTTCGAGTCTTCCTGTGTTGTATTTTCATAAATGTGTTCTTTGGCCTTCAACAAAGGTTCCAATGTCGGGCAAAAGGTGACGACATGTTCGTCACTGTGTGGCATTGTTTGGCAAGGTATCGACATGTTGCTTGAACTATGACCGTCTTTATTACCAGTCTTGTCGATAACTGCGTAGAGGTCAGGCCCTTCTATTGTTATCTCATCCGGTAGAGAACAAGAACTGGCGTTCGGAAGAAAATAGGTCTCATCGCACGAGGTTTGCCTTGGTACAGATGGCTCTCGTTCGATGTTGTCAACCTCATGGCTTTGTTGCCGATCCCCTGTAACAAAAAATAATTAAAATGCGATGAGTATCCAGGGGGCACCCAACGACAATTTTCGGGAAATATCTGTTCGGAAGACGATTTGAGATCTAGAATTTTCGGAACATTTGTTGTAAAATTACTTGCTTGCCTGCCCTTCCTAGGATTTTCGAACATCTAAAAAAGGGTCTAATTGCCTATTTTTAACGGACTTTTACCCTAAAAAGGTCACCTAGAATTTTCGGGAGCCTTTTTTCTGGCTGGAATTTTCGAAAAGGTAAGTTTTGATCCCTATAATTTTCGGATCACTAGACTTTCAGCTAGGAAATCCGAACAGATGAAAAAAAAAAAAAAAAAAAAAAAAAAAAAAAATAAAAAAAATATAAAATTAATATTTATATATAAAAAATATATATAATAAAATATTAATATAAAAATTTTATTTATTTTTTAATAATATAGTTGTTTATTGTTTGTTTATGTGTGGGGGGTGTGGGGGGGGGGGGGGGGGGGGGGGGGGGGGGGGGGGGGGGGGGGGTGGCAGCGAGGTCTGAAACCGAGTTTACATGATTTGGTCGAGTGAGGCTGAGTACAAATTTTCAATCAAAACAAATATGGCGGAGAATGCAGACTTGGAAGAGCGATGAGTTTTTGGTCGGTTTTAGGTTTTCCTGCGTCCAAGCATCAAGAAAAGGTTTTTATGAACTTTTTTAATGGACCTTTTGGACATCAGGAGGCGTGATGTGTGAACAGTTCATAGGGGACTTCATTTATCGTGATTCGGAATTCACTTCTCACTGTCGAATCGCTGCGAAAACGAACTTGTTGTTGTTGTTCGCAGCCCGTTTCACGCATGCTCGCTACAGTTCTCGAATGGTTGACAGATTTCTTAACTGGGGCGATCATGGAGAGTCGAAAAGCGGCAAGATCAAAGGCTGTTGCCAGCCCCACCTCCCCCCCTTGTAGTTGACAATAGATACACAGCTTAGCAGCTCAGCGTATGTAACAAAATCTAGTCACATCAATTTCATTGTATGTCTGAAGCATAGCACAATAAACCTCTTTAGCTCGTATGTTTTGTTTTCCCAATAGAGGTCCCAGGGGAACTTGCCCCGCTGTCTTTTCACAGTGTATGAGTAGATGTTCTCGTAAATAAGACGAAATTTGAAAGAAACTGTTCCTTAGAGTATTATCACGTGACTTGTATTGAGAAAACAAAACATACAAGCTAGTGAGGTCTATTGACCTACAGCTGTAGGAAACTATAAACATGGTTACTTTTTGTAGGCGAATATCAGCAAATAATATTTCAAATTAATTATTACTGAGCGTGCAATTTCTAATGGGATCTCCTGTCTTCAGAGGATGTCACTTAGTGCCATCTTTACTGTTGCTCCTTTATACTAGAGTAAATGGTGACACACCCCTTGGCTGTTACTTCAGTTTCGTCTTCATCTTGTGTAGGCTTCAACTCAAGTTCTGTATACACGAGACCACAAGTCTGTGATGGAAAGAAAACAGGTTAATTAGGTTCCCGCTACAGAGGGCTATTGCTCTCTCAACTTGTCTCGCAATTTCGTTACAACACAATTTCCTAGTAACATCCCCTGAAATCGCCATGTGTCGCAACGTTTTCGTTGGCTGTCTTTGTTCGGCGCACAACGTCGAACCAAGTTGTACTTCTCGCAACTCTAATGTAAGACAAATGCTTCATTTCGGTTTTTTTTTCACCCCATGTGAGGGAATTCAAGGCATTCTTGGATTCTGGATTCTACGACGTGGATTCCAGATTTCATTCTTTGTTAGCCCAGGATTACGGATTCCACAGGCAAAATGTTCCTGTATTCCTTTACATGGGTGGAGTTATTACCCTCGGGAACGTTTCATGCAACTTTCTCGCTAATTCGCACAAATAGAGAGGAGAAGTCGTTACGTCACGTTGTCATGGTAGCAAAATTTTTGAATGACAACAAACCGATAAAGTCACTTTAAAGTCTATTCGCGCTATTTCAAACTTCACCGATCTTGTTTAATTTCATTTAATTTGGCAAATGTTGGCGGAAGTTTCTTTGGGACCGTATCTGTCGTTATCTATGTTTAGAAAAAGAAAGCGACAATTTTTGTGGTTGTGTTTACCTACTCCATAAAGCGGGCTCACGAAATTAGGACGTTTCATGTCGTAGTGGTGCAACGACGGCAAGGATATGTACAAAATAGCGTGATTCACGTGGAAAGTTGTTGTTTCTTGATATAAAGATATTATTTTTTGCCGTTGTCCTTGCCGTCTTCGTCGTCGTTGGTTTTGTTGTCATCCAGAAATAGTACACCGTGGTAACGTGACGTCACACTTCTCCTCTCTATTGCCAGACAGGTTGTAGGATAACCTAGCGCACGAAAGTTTAGGTTTTCAATCTTTTTACCTTGTAAAATTGACTTTCATTTATCAGTTGATTACGCCCAATAGAGCGTTTATTCAAGGGAGACGTTTATTGGTAATTTTGTTTCCATGCATCTGCGACGTTTGATCGAGGGCGGTTTCAATCGAATAAATACGGTATACTGAAGTTTTCACATGAAAATAAATTTTCATTTCGTTTTCATCTGAATAGTTATGCACCGCAGTCTTCGGTTTGAAAACGAATTAAAGAACACTAGCGCATTAAGGCCGTCTACACGTGCTATGGATTTTAAATACTCCACTGATTTTAAGAAAGACGAAAAAAATAATTTGTTGCCGCCGTGAGGTGAGCACTTCACTTGGTAATAAATTAACAATTAATGAATGAGGCTGAGTATCTTATTAAGAATTATGGAGATCGAGGAGGGTGTTACGGCCTCGACGGATAACACCCTTCCAGATCTCCATAATTCCTTATCTGATACGAAAGCCGAATTCAATAATTGTTTTATTATTCATTCAAAAGAATTCCTTGTTTAAAAACATGGCTAAAACATGCTTACCTCCATCGATCCATCCATGTTAAGTTCATCTTCGATAGTGCACGTTTAGGTTTGTCCCTTCCCTTCCCTTGCTATTTTTTCCCCCAAACAGAGAGCCTGCTCACAGGGTACCATTCATATAAAACCTTGTTGGCAGTGCTTTCACACGGCACTTCTTGTAATTCAGTATTATACAAAACGGAAGTTTAGAACTTTTGAGAATTTTTACTGGCAGTAACACAATAACAGTTGGTGTTTAAAACTGCGTTGGTTAGATAAAGTCATTCTTGACTAGCAGTCTCTCTCCATAGTAGTTTATTTGACGAATACTGCTCTACATGTGTGGTAATTTATTATTGGAGAATGTCCCCGAGTGTACAAAGTCTTTCTAGCCACATGAATAATTATTCCAAGATATCTGTGAATAGATAGATTGGATACCTCTTGGTAAATTTTCCCGAGGTCAAATTCCATGGAAATACAATTGCACATGACTACGAAACATAAATATCTCTGCAATTACCTCATCGTTAGTTTTCTTGGCCCTGGTTTTGTCAACAACCGCATACACGTACTCCTTTTCTGTGTCGTCTGAATGCACCTGGGGCCTCTTGTATCTTGCACAATATGGCGTGGGGTATAACGGTGGCTTTCGTTTCGAGTCTTCCTGTGTTGTATTTTCATAAATGTGTTCTTTGGCCTTCAACAAAGGTTCCAATGTCGGGCAAAAGGTGACGACATGTTCGTCACTGTGTGGCATTGTTTGGCAAGGTATCGACATGTTGCTTGAACTATGACCGTCTTTATTACCAGTCTTGTCGATAACTGCGTAGAGGTCAGGCCCTTCTATTGTTATCTCATCCGGTAGAGAACAAGAACTGGCGTTCGGAAGAAAATAGGTCTCATCGCACGAGGTTTGCCTTGGTACAGATGGCTCTCGTTCGATGTTGTCAACCTCATGGCTTTGTTGCCGATCCCCTGTAACAAAAAATAATTAAAATGCGATGAGTATCCAGGGGGCACCCAACGACAATTTTCGGGAAATATCTGTTCGGAAGACGATTTGAGATCTAGAATTTTCGGAACATTTGTTGTAAAATTACTTGCTTGCCTGCCCTTCCTAGGATTTTCGAACATCTAAAAAAGGGTCTAATTGCCTATTTTTAACGGACTTTTACCCTAAAAAGGTCACCTAGAATTTTCGGGAGCCTTTTTTCTGGCTGGAATTTTCGAAAAGGTAAGTTTTGATCCCTATAATTTTCGGATCACTAGACTTTCAGCTAGGAAATCCGAACAGATGAAAAATTTTTAGGGGATAAAAATATGCCTATATCTACCGTTTAAATACTAAAATACGTTTAACAATGCTATGTTTAAGTGGTTTTGAACTATATTCTCGTTGGGTGCCCCTGGTATCCCCCGACTCTTTGTTTCTTGAGTTCGAATTACAGTTAACAATACAATAAAGCAGAATAGCCAGTGAAAAATCTATTAAGCCTATAAGATGACCCCTTTCGGAACATCGGATTCTTTCTACTCAAGCGAACTCAAAGTAAATAATAGGTACATTGGGGGTGTATGGAGCCGAAAAATCTAGATAAAGAATTTGAAATAGTAAACCGACGCAATGCATCCTTTAATGTTGGAAAATACTGCAACCCAACGAAACCAGAAAATTATTGCCTAAAGAGTTGTAATTCGTTTTCTCAGTACAAAAAAATACCGGACTATTTTAGGGAAACATAAAGGGCAAGGATAGAGAAAGCAAAGATGACAGGGAGCTGTTAAGTATTAAGGAAGGAAGAAGGAAGGAAGAAAATACATGTAAGGATGTAATGTTACTCTGGGTATCAGAGGTTTTTCTCGCGTGCGGCGGGAATTTTCGGTGTCGGCCGACGGCCGACACATCTTCTGCCGTAGGCCGGAGCCACGAGCGGCGAAGCCGCGAGAAAAACTTTTCGCGCGGGTCACCGTAAAGACTTGCCTATAAAGACTTGACAGAAACCGGAAACCGCGCTAGAAAGGTCTCTGGCACCCAGGATAATGTGATGTAGAAAGGAGCAACAAAAGGAGGAAGTGAAAAATTTGTACAATATGCCTGATTAATAGGTTACTTCGAGTTAAAAAAACTCTCACTTTCAAAATGAGGCCAAGTGCACAACCTGTCTTGTAAAAATGAGTTTTATTCGCATGAGAATGAAAAATCATTTCATATGAAAGGCTGAGCAGTTAACCTCGTTTTCATGCAGAGGCCCGTGGGAACTCGTAAATGGCCTATTGTCTTACTTGTTTTGGTGCAAAGTGCCTGCAGTCTCTATAGAGCCAAGTCCACAAACTAAGTACTCACCGTCTCCACGCATGACAGACAATCCCTCACCCAGAGCTCTGATATTGACACTACAATTCTCGTTGGGAGGGACAATTTTGACTTTGCACCGCTCTCTCACTAAAAACGCTAATCAATGTGTCAAAAGCTCCCTCTCCACCCCTCTACTTTTTGACACAGAGCTGGCAGCCTCCCACTATCCGCGGGCTAGTCAGTTAGCCCCCTCCATTTGTTCCGGCTAGCCAAGCTTAACATGGGCGGTGCCAGCGTTCAAGCAAAAACCCAGTGGGCACTGTTTATCAAGTTCAGACAGACACTTATTAGCCTTTATGTAGATTAAACCTTGTATACATATAGCCTTTTTTGACAAGAGTGACACGGAAAGTTCAACTGCTAGAGTACTACAATATTCAACGTTTACAGGATCTTAATTTTTTACCTGTATTTTTATGGAGTCTCCTTCGCCAAAGAATGAATCCTAAGACAATTAGCAGGACCACCAGCAACACAGCTAGAGCTGTGGACACGATGAAAGTGATATTTGCTCCCTTACTGGGGCGATCAGAAGGAAACTCAACTGGTAGTAGTTTCTCTGCAAGTTAAGAACGCATGGTTCTTTACTATGGAAAGTTTATCGTTTCCTATTGTCACAGCTGGATGTGGATGCATTAGTCGTCTTCTCCTTAAAGTAACGGCTTCCCAAATCGTTTTGAGTACTGGGTGGTTCACGGCTACTAAATGTTAAAGGTTGTCTATGGCATACCTTTCAAACGTTCTTTACTCAGGACAACCTCCACTGTTGTTTAAACTGTACATGTTCAGTTGTCTTTTTTGAGAATTGAAAACTACTTCAGTCCAAAAAACAACCTGGGAATCTATTTGTTTAATTGTTTCAATTTGTTTTATTGTTCATGGGTCTAAGGGTCTTTACCTAGCCTGCGAAAACAACCGTTTCTCCTCTCTCTTCGCCTGCTAGGGACGTTTCGCGAGGACGGTTCCTCCGGCCTCGTTCCCGTTCCTCTGGGATTATATTATTAAATGCTCGTTAAGCAAGTAAACAACAAATGGCGGAAAAACGAAGTGTAGTGGCGGTTTGTGCTGTGGCTTGCTATTGTCATTTTTATGACGCGAAGCCTCCGCCAAGCAAAGGTAGTTAGTTGTCCAGTCGACTAATTTGATGCCCGAATTCGACCCCGGTAAGGCACTTTACCCCACTTTTTTTACTTTAATCAATATTTATCCAGGGGCATCCAATTTAGCAGAGCTAGTTGAAACGTTGGCAGTAGTTGACCTCGGCTAAAAGGGTTACCTGGTCTAGCAGACCTGGTAACCCACCTGGGCGGGTCAGCCCACCTATCATGTAAACGTGATCGAATTGAAATGAGAGATTATACGGATAGGTGGATTACCCGACCACCGACCTAAGGGGGTTACCTCACCTACCTGGGGGGTCCCCCACGCCCATGTAAAACATCACAAACCCACTTTTGAGAGAATATACTACTTTTTGGATCTCTCTGACTTATTAATCATCGAATTCTTTTTCAACGAAACGTAATTTTGAAGACGATTTCTCAGCTAAGTGAACGAATGAATAAATAAAAAAACGAATGCCACGAGCTACCACCTGCGAATTTTGAGCCCCAAATATGCGCAGACGGCTAACGTGAAATCGCTAAGCGCAGATCGCGTTTTGCTGTTTGCGGTAAAGTGGCCAAACCTCGATTTTAAGGTCTCTTATAACGGTTTATTTTTAAGGGAGATGTCGCTTTTAGTGTGGGTGACACAAAAATCTTCTAAAAGGGTTTAAAAAGGACTTTTGCATTCCACATAAAATACAAGTAGAGATTCTTATAGCTACTAAGCCAGGTTTTATTAGGTTCATTGTTTCACACAGTTTCCTATCAAACTAAACAAGGTATAAGAGTGAGTAAGCTCTTGCCCAGCGTGTTTAGTGCAGCGCTATCCCCTTAAAGAGACCAATAAAGTATGAAGGGTGTATAAGGGTCTATAAGGGTGTGAGCGCTTTAAATTATTACAGTTTTTCTCTTTTTTTGTGTGTGGATTCGGAGAGTTAAAGGTTATCATAGAAAATATTTGCCCAGCATGAGCAATTCATGATTTAGGATATTTCGTGTAGCTTTTACATTGAGCGCAGTTTCCTATGTATACTTTGTGCAGTGTAACATGATGTATGGGGATGGTAAGCAGGTAGGTTGGCCATGTTAATTAAAGCACTTTCTTTTGTGGTTAAATCCGTGTTCATCGAGCTGTTTATTTATCAGAGATTCTACACATGAGTTGGCTCATAGGAGGCCCTTGATTGCAAGCTTTACTTCCGATTGTGTGCCGCACCAAGAGTAAAACTGTAATGATTGTCATAGTGCTTATTTGAGTAAATCAAGTAATCACATTTGGATGAAGGCATGATTGAGATAACAGCAACTTTTGAAGCATTTAGTGACCTGAACTGTTGCTAAGTAACTGCGAAAAATATTGCTGAATATTTCCAGCGAAAAACGCAGTGGGCTTTCTTTGACGAAGGAGGAAACTTTGAAAAGAACATGAGCTGCTGTGTTTTAGACCTGGTAATAGAAAATCTATAAACTGCAAAAGAAAAGGCAAGCTTACCATGACTTCCATCTGTTGACTGATACGTTTGGATTGTTGTTTCCGTGAAGAAGATCGATGGCTTGGTCACACTGCTCTGACGTTTGTTCTCTCTGGTAAAAGGCATGTCTGTTGTCTGAGGATTTCTGAAGAAGAAGTACTTTCTGGAGACCTTGCTACAAGCTAGAAAACATTCACACAAAAGATATAGGTAGATTTGAAACAATACAAGACTGCAATAGATTAATATTAACCTGCGAGAGGAGAAAAGTTTTTAGAGACCAATGGATATTTGGAGCGATATCTTGAATCGAAACCCACTTTATGGGCTCACTGTGAAACTCGCAAAACCGTGAACACTAGAAATATTTATTGAGTGTTGTTGTGTTGCTAGGAAAAAGTGTGGCGGGTGGCGGGTGATAAGTCCAATTTTATATCAGCACGATAATAAAATCAAATCACTGTAATTATCTCTATTTATTATAACTTTGTTTGAACGGCGTCATCGTCCGTTTAGTAGAAGTGATTTCTCATTCACAATAGAAGTCATATGTACAGTAAATATGGGAAGCAAATTCACTCTCTAAAAATTCAATTTGCCATGTAAAATTATTTAGTGTGACTTTACATACCAACTTTTTTTTCACAAATGAACCCTATGTAGTGAAACCTTTCTGTGCAGTTAATGTTGTTGTATTTTCCGCTCTGGTACATCTCAACACAATACTCAGTATCAGGGTTGTTTGGTTCTTCAGCATTCCAACGCCAATTTCCTGTGTCATTTGTTGCCTGGTTTATACAGGCTTTTGTATCATTAGACCAGCACCATAAGTTATGTGAAAGGTACCGTAAGCCAATGAACCATCGTCCTTTTTTAAGTTCTCTCTGTTGCTCTGGTGAAAGCTCTGGTGTAATGTTGGTTGCAATGTTTTTAAAATACACCCATTCCTCCTCGGTTTGCATGGAGACCAGACCATCATAGTTTCATCTATTGCAGTATTGCTCGGCCTCTTCCCAGTTATAATATTTGGAACCAAAGAGGTACTCGGAGCAGACGTGTTGAACGTTTTCTGAATGGACTGTAAAGGGAGGGAAAATGACAATTGAAATATTTAACTAATAAGTACATATAAGAGCAGTAGAAGGCTCCGAGACAGCAGGGAAAGCAGATCGAGAGGAGTTCCACGAAAACCGCTTGCCCTGGGCTGGGAAGAGATGAAGGCTTGCTCGCTTTTTCGCTGCTCGCCCGCTTTTTTCGCCCGCCTGCACTGCCAGAGAGACTGACAAAGGCTACAAAGGACGCTTAACCAACTACATTTTCTTGAGGTAAGATTCCGGAAGTCTTTATGTCAGTATGACTGTCTTAGAAAAGTTTTAGTGTAGATATGCTTAAGGTGACTCGACCCAGTTTTTCTTGGGGGGGGGGGGGGGGTCCCCCCCCTTTTTTACGCCTCCTGGTCCCCCCCCTTTTTTTTTTTTTCTTGTTTCACACTCAAAAGGTGCAAAATATATACCAATCTACAAAAAATAATAAAATTTTTTGCATTTGGCTCAAACCACACGCGTTTTCAGTGTACATCCC